CCGTATTATATTATGCTCATGTTACTATGGAAACCTTGGCTCCTTCATTACAATTATTCTCTGTAACGATCTCTTATTTTTCATTTATTTAATTATAAAATTATTTCATATTTAACTCTTTTTATATTAGAGATCAATGGGAAAAGGTTAATTGTCTCAAATAAAAAAGAAAAAAAAGAAAGGTTATCCCTGTTAGAGAACATGAATGAGAATAAAACCTACTTAATATTAAAAACTGTTTAATTCTACATTGATATAATAAATTTAATCAAAATCGTTAGAGCCATCTTTGAGAAAATAGTAAAAATGTGTTCTATCCAAGATATAAAGTCCCACTTCCGATCAGCCGATTTTGAAGAAAACGTTGCTGTAACAACTCAAGTATATACATTAAATATGCAGTTTCACTTTCATATGACTTTTCATTTTTGGGTTATACCGGTCACATACTTACAGACACACGCACACACTGACCATTTTGCGGGACTTGGTTATTTGGACTCAGGAGACCTCAAAACATGTATTTCCGTTGAAAACTCATTTAACGGTTTTTTTCAACCGTCAATAAAAACTGTTTCCAAAAACAAAAATTTGGAAAAACACCCGTTTAATTTTTATTAAAAATGTAAATATTGTATATAGGTATGTATGTGTTTCTGTTTTTTTTTAAATTTACTTATGTTTATGTTAATTTATTTTATTTCTTTTATGCAATTTTTTATTGTAATTTAGTTGTTATTTTGTTTATGTTTATTTTATATTTTTTCGGTACATATAATGTGAATGTGATCTTCACTCTCAATAATAATGTCCAAGTGACAAGAGAGAGAATCACTTTATTATCATAAAATTGTGCTGCCCAATTACATTGGGTTGCTAAAAACACAGCAAACATATTAATTATTATAGACAATTATTAAAATAATATATAATTATATAGGATTAACAATATGGATATTATATTATTCAATAAATAAATTTTTAGTAAGGAAGGAGATGGTCCGGATTGGCGGTCATAAATAGACTAAATAGTGGCAAAACTATTTTATTAAAAACCAAATTTTATATGTGCCAGTTTTCAATATCAATGTCAGCCATCATTAGAGTATGTTTAGGTGTATGAATAAGCATCGCCACCATATTATAGGCCTCCATTTTGAAACAAACTTTCCTGGTACAATTAATCCAAGTCCTTGGTGAAGTGTGCACACTGTCCTTTCTTTCATCTGTCACTATCATTTCACCAGAAATTATAAAATAAAGAAAACGGGTTGCTAAACCCAAAGACAACAGCCTGGTGGAGGAAATATGGGGAGGAAGAAAAGAAGCTCAATTCAAACACCAAGTGATCCGAATTAACAATACAATTTCAATCAGAAGCAAAATCACTTCCAACATGGAAATGCCATGTAACAAAATTTTAATTTCACCATCAGCAATTAAATAGAAATATTTATTTCATCTTTTAATAACAACAAAATTTTACAAGTGCAATTTTCATTTATTTTGTTTGTATTAATAATATGCAATATAATCAATGTTCTGAATTATTTGTTTAATTTAATCATGTATCAAATTTCAGTTATCAAACCTCATACAGTCCACGCCAATTCTCACAATAGCCAGCGCAATATCAATCAATTACAGGTCAATGGGTAATATTTGGCCAACACCAAATTACCGTGACCATACAAATAATAATATAATATTACAAAATACGTATTTTTTTAAAATTTATATGCATGCATACATATTTTTTATTTAAATGTCAATTGCCTGTAAGTTTATTGAAAAAAAAATATACAAAAACTTGAATACATTGTGTACAAACCGCAGTTCGGGTGTCTCTTATTTTTATGTATATTTTTCTTTACTTTAGAAAATGATGGTAGATTTATTTATTTCTTCGCTGAGTAGTGTGTATGTCCTCCCAGTCATAGTGGGGTAATCCTTTTTCAAGTCTCCGTTTGTACAACAAAAATGTAAGTCCACGGTAGTGTTTATTAGAACGGTTCTGCAGGTCCTTGAGGATGGAAAGAACTAACTTTTGTTTTATTTGATTCATTTTTTTACTTATATCATTTTTATTTTTACTTATTTTATTTTAAAATTGTAATAAAAAACAAATTTCGAAATTGTAGGTTTACATTAAATAATAATATAGGTATAGTAAGTATTTTTTTTTATTATTTTAATGAAATTTTCAACTGTGAACATATATACAACAAGTAAATTTGCTATAGGAATATATTGTATGAAGGTACTTGTGAAGAAGTTACCCATTGGTAACACTTCAAAGATAAATTAATTTAGGAGGTCCTTTGGCCATCTTCTTTTCAGACGCCTCGGAGGGTTGTCAAGAATTGTTTAGGATGAAAATTTACAAACTAAAGGATTCGGGTGACTAAAGAGTTTGGAATAAAAAGAGGTATATCTAGTTCGGGCAAAGTCTTCCCCAAGAGGAATGTTGAGCTCTTTATGGATAATTTTATTTTTTACTTAATAAGGAGCATTGAGGATTTTACGGAGGATTTTGGATTGTTAGAATTGGATACCGGAAGAATTTGATGTTTTTGTAGAGCCCCAAAAGTAATTTTAAGACACAGTAGATGAAATTTTATTAATTTATATAGCCCTAGATGTATTACACCTTATTTACACAGTCTGCCAGAAATCCTTTATATAATATCAAGATACTTTAAATACTTTTTTTTATTCACACCTGCATATTTATTCTAATATTGAAAGATTTTGACGACGTTTTTATTGGACCTATTGTAGGTTAACATTTTATATCTTGTGAACTTATTGTTTATAATCAAAAGGGGTGGATACCAAAAGATAAAACTATTTCAAAACCGCATCGGTTTTCGTTTAAAAATTTATAACTAAAAAAGCGAAAGTCCCATAAATCTATTATTTTTTTGCTTTAAAATAATGCATTCAACAAAATAATATCAAATTACAATTTTCTGGTTTAGGCTCTTGGTTGATTTGATATGGAATGACCCTTTAATGTTATCCTTATGAATGAAAATTAAGCATCCTGATATTTCTTCAAAGGTTCACTAAATGTAGTGTAACAATATCTATAAGAAATCTATGTTCCGGCATCAATCAACTATTGATCAAAAATGTATATATATATAAATATAAGTTAAAATATAAATGTCTAATTTGCCGTCCGTATATTAATCTAATGAATTTATAGCAATTGAACTCTCTGTTCAACATGAGAAGAAACATGATAAAAATCATCGTAATCTCCAGAGATTTCGAATGAAAACAATTTATTATTAATTTTGGAGTAAATAAAACACCAGCTTTTTGAGTGAATGAGTTACTTTGATTTTTAAAAAGAGAACCCAGCATTTAGACTTTATATTCACTCCCTTCCCTAAAAACCAGATTTTCTCCTTCTTTCAGTCACTTTTGTCTGTGTAATAGGGATTAATATTTTTGTATTGAGCGTCGTTAAATCCAGTTTTTCAGTGTGAAAAATGAAGAATGTGAGTTCCTCACGAAAATCACTGTTTAAAACGATGATGGTGAAGGAAGAAATTATGAATGAACGAACTTTGTGTTAGAAAATATGATATTTCCAAGCCATTCATAAAATACAAAACTAGTTATATAATCTTGTTAATTATTATTTATGTTAGAGACAAAATTAAGCTAGGAAGACTGCCACCATTTTGGGACTATTTGACCACTTTTTTAATAATAAAATTGATTTTTTAAAAATTAGTAGTAGTTCAATTTATTAGTATGTGGGGAGGAAGTGGTCAGCAGTAGGGTTGAATTTGGACCCATCTGGCCGAAAAAAAGGGGTTGGAGGCAAAGTATTGTCTGACAACATTTTTGGGGGATTGAAAATATACGAATTTTCGAGTAGTAGAAAGTATTTTATTGTATGTACATGCTATACACAAAAGTACATTAATGCACTATTTAAAATATATTCCAATTCTATGGTATTTGATGTTTTCACTTTAATTTTTTGAGTATTTCAACATATACCTATACACATATACATATACATGTATCCGGCATATCTGTAATCGAACACTACTAATCATGGATATGTCTTGACGATGCTGAAATTATACCGCTTTTATACTGATGGTGATTAATGAAAACTGAGACAAGATAAAATATTTAATACAGATAAATTCGAAATAAAAATGTGGGAGGAGTTTAAATTATAATGCATACCATAAAATGAATATTTAAAAAATGAAATAAATATTCAGAACATTCAAAATATCACAAATTCTTCAATTGAGTAGTGCACTTTCTATTTCCTTTCCGTCTGTGAATATAAGGACATAGCAATAAAGGTCCTAAATTATAATGATACATATTTGGAAACATAATAAAAGTTTAAGACAAGTTGTGGAGACGGAGAGATGTAACAGGAGTGGACACACGGCTGTCATGAGCGTCCAGCCCCTTGCTTATACTGTTGATTATCTTAAACAATTTATTTTTAGGATAGTATGTTAAGATTCAAATCCGCCATCCAAGAAATGTCTTTCCGTTCTTTATTTCACCTCGTGGTCTCTTAATAAAATAGTTAATACTTTACTAGCTTTTGTTATTATAATTTAAGTATATAAACTAGGACTGAGAGAGGTGTGAGAGTATTATGTTTGGCAACCGTATAAGTCATACTGTAGTGGATTCAGGCAACGCCCTCGGTCCCCAACTCACCTCCGAGACACACTGATATTTCAAGTTTTTAGCTAAACATGAACCTTTTTCTATTATTTAAAAAGTATAACCTCAAGCTTATATACGTCTTTACACTAGAATTATATTTCAGCAAAAGTATATGCTTTTCTTTCCCTTGTAAATACCCAATTCAAAAGCAATTATGTCCTTTATTTTATAGATCCAACACTAAGTTTAATTATATGTAGTGTATCTGATATCTGTTCTTGCTTTTGCAGGTCGAAATAGAGGGGCTGACAGGCGAAATTAGATTCAGTGAAGACGGAAGAAGACAGAACTATACACTCCATGTTGTAGAGATGACTGTCAATAGCGCCATGGTCAAAGTAAGATATTTCATGATTTTTTTTTTTTTGTTAATTTAGTTACTTTAAAATATTTTAATTTTTTCATTATTATTTTTGTATTCTTCCCTTATGAGTACAACTCGAGCAAGAGAATAGATTGAACTCTAGTAGTGAGCGCGAAAGTAGTCACTCAATTATAATGCTAATCTAATTAAAAATTGTTTAGTATCTTTTTCCTATATTAGTTTGTCTTTTTTTATTAATTTAAAAATAATTAAAAACGTGGAATAGGTATTTAGGAAAAATTACAATTATAATGTTAAAATCTGCTTGAATCTATATTTTTTATACTCAAGAGTAATCATCATCCCAAGCGAAATATATGTACATTTATGGATAAACAAAAATAAAAAGCGTCAATGAAACGTTTAACGTGTAATTGTAATGAGCCAAAAATTTAGGTTGAATATTCATTCAACAGTTGTATCTGATTGGATGAATGATTTTCTAATTCAATATTTTTTATATATTACTTATTTTTCACATATATTTGTTTTGAGCACGAATATACGTTTTATATATGTGTGTAAAATAGTATGCTCAATTTATTCTTGGACGAAATATTTTGAGAATAACAGAATAATACAGAAACATATAATTACTTACTTTGACCAGAAGAACTGTTACATTAAATAAATAGATAGATAAAAACTTTAATTGAACTAACAATAAATGAAATTACTTACAAAATTCTTAAAACTTACATATATATATATATATATATATATATATATATATATTATATATATATATATATATATATATATATATATATATATATATATATATATATTGTTAAATTGAAGATAATAGAAAACAAAAACAAATTAAGAACGAAATACATGATGTTATAAATCATCCGTGTAATCTAACGTACTTCTATAGTTTAGTGAAACAACTTTCAAATGTTTAGTTGATATAATAAAAGACTTTTTTATTAGCAAATTATATGGAAACTGTGTACTGTAATTGACAATAACGGCAGTCGGTAATTTTCTTTTACTCTTCTTTTTCGTTATTAGGTTTTACTGAATACGTTTCATTTTTATTACCGAGTATAATGGCAGAACAAAGTTTAAAGACCAATTAAAAAAAAAAAAAACGAAAAAAAAATACGGGTATCCGAGGTAGAAAATACTAAGTAGTAAAGGGATAAGTAAGGTTTGATGAGGGAAAAGACAGAGGGAGCCACATCTGGGGGCCTTTAGTACCCCCACCCCACCCTCCTTTAGGGGCGATAAACCAGCCAATGGAATGGCGTGTTCGAGACACCTGCCGTCCAATCTCTTTTCGGAGGTCCTTCCTGTCTCACGGCACTGAGGAAGAAATTTAGAAAATATTGAGCTTTTAAATATTACCTGCTTCCTTTCGTTATACCCAATGTCGATATTCCCCATGCTAATTTCAATTTATTACATCAATATCTCAGTCCATACCTTAAATATACACGAATGCCTATGCGTCCACGCTGGAAACCCATTTCGATTATATTTAAAAGTTCTGGAGATACATGATTCCCGTTAGCGTTATGTCCTAGTCAAGAAAATGGTAAAAAATAAATTTATTTGGTAACGAAAGTTACTAAATATAATTAGTTAAAGCTGTTTTAGTTCAAAGGCGATGATACAGTATATAGACTTTCCCATAAAACAATAGTGCGTATCACACATCAAATACGAATAAATCCAAATCAAGTTTCACTTAATCAAAAAGTAAGCATTGTATCGATTCTGTGTAGTAAGATTTAACCTCATTTTGTCAAATAAGTGTCACTATTATATATTCAGCTATTTTACAAAAGAAAATATATCACCATGGAATGTATCACTTACTACCGAGAAGCAAAAATGTATTAAAATTAATAAAAAGAGGTTATTCTAAACCAAGCGAAGTGCCTTTGTCTTCAAAGGACAAAGCAGGTTCGAGTACCTCAGGAGATACATCAAGCAGGGTGGAGATTACTTCAAAGAGTTCGCAACAATCGTTCAGAAAATCACCTGATGAAGAAGGAGTGATTGTGATCGCCTGCTGTTATTGTAAGCCACATACTTCTTGGATATCTTGAAGAGAACTAAACGCGTGAAGAGTACTAAACGATCTGAGTTGTCGCCTATAACAGCCCCAAATCTGCTAGAAGACCCTTGAAATATTTGGAAAATTAAAAAAGTTGGGAAATTTGATTTTTTTTTAAAACTACATCAAATTGCTAAAATTAAGTTAAATAAGCTAAGAAATTGAGAATCTATCGATAAAAAAATCTTTAAATAGAAAAGAAAACAATTCTTCTAAATTTTTAAATACAGTTTAGCGAACAGTGGCTGGCCTTATATACGCAACGACAAATGCCATTTAAGAAATAGTTGCGCTAATTATCTTGAGGTATACATACTCTTTATGGAACCTTAACCTTCCTAACCAAAAGAAGAACAAGTTGGCATATAACCGGAGGAATCTTGGCAATGTTTTCGGTCACCGAGGTATATTAGGCTTCACGAGATATACCAGTTCTTAGTAGGGAAATTCTCTCGACTAACTTCAACAAGAAGCTTTGATCAAATAGCGGAACGAAAGAAAAGGATTGGTAGGGATTCCGGAATACTTACAAGTGAGGATTGAGTAACAGCCTAATAAATAAAAGGGAACATTGTGAAAAGCAAGCTTTCAGAAATGGAAAAGGCTCTAGCTCACTAGCCAATGGCTGAATACACGAAGAAAGTATTTTCATCATCCACTAGTCGATCAGCTGCCAGATAAGTCCAATTTGTCTATTGGGTCTCTCAATTCCTTACCGGGCAAAGGAGATTTCGTCACATGTTACACAGTCTTGGATAGGATATCTCTCTCTTTGCTCCAATTATACTGCCTCGGAAACTAATCACATATGATCACCGATTACTCTGAGTTAGAAGCAGTAAGAGCCAAACTAAGAGGAATACTAGCATCAGCAGCCATAAGCCAAGACTTTTATTTCTTAAAATTGAAATGATTAACAAATTGTATCTTGTTTTCTCCTTCCCACGAAAAAAAAATTAAAAAAGTTCAAGTATTAAAGGTGTGGTTTGTCCCAGATACGCTCAGCCTTTTCTCCTTAATCTCGTATTTAATTAAGGGTAGTTTACTTTATAAAGACTGGGTGTACCCCAGGTCGATCCGCGGCTGACGATGCATAATAAGTAATTTATATGGCATCAGACTCGAATCTGGGACCTTGAGCGTTGCAAATCAGCCTTATCATCATAAGTCGGTTATATATAATTATTTAAATTGCTGAAAAATTTCAACAATAATTATCTTAATCTATTATCAGAACTAAACTTACTAAACTATTGTAAAGTAATATAAGGATATAACCACATATGTTTTCCATCCGTAAGCACTGCTTGAAATATGTTTAGTACCATATCTTCCAAACAAAACTGCTTGTAACAATGTGCTATGTTCCTGGCCTCGCGTTTCTACGGCGAGTAAGGGGTTCCAGGAATCCCTATTTGTATTAAAATGTATATACATACATATACTAAATACATTTATTTGTATTAAAATGTATTCAATACTTATATTTGTATTGAAATGTAAGATACCACAGACCCCCTACTGTCGTATCCTAGATTGAACCATATAATTTTTATTGGATTTTCTTTCTAAAGGTATCATGTTTTTAAATTTACTATTTGTTCTATATCTAATTGGTGGCATGCAAGATAGAATGTAAAATCATCAAGATGGTTTACTAACTATTATATTTACAAATTTAAGTAACCAAAACATATATATACAAAATAATAACTAAACCTATATACATAATGTATAGTTGAGAATCATACTGGAGGAGAATGCTTGATGTTCATCTTGCTCCCTCCGGCTGTCGTCTCGCCTGAGTCTCACCTAACAGTCCAGATCTTCCTCTCTCCGCCTCTCCTGATCAAGTCCCTCTCGCTTCCTTCCCAGCTTGAAGTCTCCTCAGCTGAGTCCCAAAAAGAAGTGTCTTAGTCCTAGTCCTCTATTTCCCACCTTTCTTCATCCTCCTCTCTTTTGGTAATCTTCTCTGATTGGCTGAATATTCCTAGCCTAAGGGATGACCACGCCCACTCCCCCAGGCCAAGGTAAAGCAGCAGGTACAGATTAACGTATTTCTGGTGGAAGGTGTGAAAAGGTCTTTCGGGATCCTGTTTAAACACTCAGTTGTCGGTCTTTGTTGGTGGTTCTTAAAGGTTTTTATTACCACTTACAAAAGATTGGGCTTGTGGGTCGTTACCCTCGCTCAGGCAGCGCCAGATGTGGCCTCTTATGATATTTATTTATTTATACCTTTAAAATAATTAAATGAATACCACCGGCGGTCTTTACAATAGATAGCAAATGGCAAATGGATAACCCATATATTTATGTTTGTATTACTAATCAAATCTTTTCCAAAGATTTCTTTAATAAACTAAATTCCCAGTTGTAAGTTGAATAAATAAAGCAAGGCAGGAAAAGAGTGATCAACCATTGGAAACATTTCTTCATAACCATCATTAAAAATGGCATAAAACACATTTTTTCGATTTTTCGTTGACAGATGTTGACAAATAACAGTAATGACAAGTAAGAGTTCATTACTTTTCACAAAGGTGATGAAGGATTAAATCTTCAACAGTTTGAATTTATACACTCGTATAGGGGCAGGATAAGCTTAAATTTAACTGGAATATATAAATTCAAAATAATTCATGTTAAGTGTTGATTTCATCCGCCATAGAACAGCTACAAGCCATATGACAACAAAGTTCATAAATTACGCCGGAAATCCTCTAAGGTAATGGAAATAGCTTCCCTCCTCACACGGGTAAGAGAAAAATTGGGGAATCTTTGCTTCTCTTTAGGACAAAGGTGTAGAAAGATTTATGAAGGTCGGATGGCTTAGTTGAGATGGAATCATCACGCCCACAAAAATTCAAAAAATCTTTTTAACAATCTTAACTGAGTTGCTATTACGG